CCGACATGGCTGCCATGCCGGCAAAGATCGCCATCGCCATCGCGGGCGGTCTTGCGTGCAACGACCTGTGGGCGGCGGTTGCTGGATTCCAGTGGCATGCGAGACGCCGTGGTGCCTGCGCCAGCGGCGTCGCCCGCCTCGTTGCGACCGCCGAGTCAGGCCGGCGCTGCGCACTTCGCGTCGATGATCGTGGGCATGCGGGCCGACGATTCATGCCAGCACGTGGCTGTTATCAACTGGCAGCCTGGTTTGGCAGCGGCAGTTCCAGCGACTGCTCCAGTCGCCGCGCCAAGACACCCGATCCAGACCGCTGGCGGCCCACCAGCCGGCCCAAGCGCAGGCGACTGGGCGCCGCCCTGCCGTGGGCTGCGCCGCTCCACCATGGAGCAGCGGCGGCGCCTCCAGCAGCATCAGCAGCGCGCCGTCGACTGGATTAACTTGCTGAGGCTACGTGTCGCAGATCAGAACGCCACCGAGATGAACTCCGACGGGCGGCCGTTTCTGCCCGCGTCCGCCGCGCGCCAAGACTGCCTGCAGTCGCAGGCGCCTGCGCCGCCGCCGATGAAATACTCGATTTCCAGATTTTTTCCCCGAGCGCGACGACGCCCCCGTGGTCGGCGAGTGCGCCGGCAACGGGCGCGCCAGGGACCTGGCGGGCGACATGTTCCGTCTGCCGTCCGCGCGGGCACGGTCCCGCGCGTGGCGTGCCGGCCGTCGCTTACGGACCTTGACGCTATTGCGTCACCAGCCTGGGAGGTGGCGCCTGGCGCCTCGGGCGGTCGCCGTCGCGCCCCCCAGGGGTGCGCGGCGCGATGCCGGCCCAGAAGATGCAGTCGCGGGAAAACGCGCGCAGGGCGCAACGAGCACGCGTGAGCCGGGGCTTCAACGCCGGCAAATTGAGGCCAGTTCCCAGCGCGACAATGGCTCCCGGCGCCGCGGCGCGCCGACGCGGCAGCTGCCGCCGCCGACCTTCCCGACAGTCAAGGCGACCTTCCAGCGCCAGCAGCGTGCCAGGTCAGGCACAGAGGCCCCGTTGGAATGGGCGCCGCCTCGCCCAGTGCGCGGCGTGCCTGCCGCCCTTCCAGACCATGGGCGCCGCGAGGAGGCCGCAGTGCGGTCGCCAGCTCCACTCCGCGCGCTGGGGCCGCGTGACGTGCGCTGCTGGCACTAACGGAAGCGGTGCAATTTATTGAAGAGATGCGCAGGTTTCTTCTCCGATTGCATCGCGCCCGAGACCTTGAAGTGCGACTTATCTCATAGAAGATGCGGCTGCCTGCAACCCATGTCGCGAGTGTAGAGTTTGACGGGGTCCTGGCAACGCAGGCGCGCCATCTGTCAGTTTCCCAGACCACTTCAATGAGGGCGCCGAGTGCCACTTGATGTTGTGCAAACCGCATGATGGATTGCACCGTTGATCGCTGCAGTCCAGGGGCAGCTGGACAGCCAGTGCCCGACGATGCGACGCGCGGTATTCTGGGCGCCTACCATCTGTGTTGGATGCGCTGTGGCCCCGCCAAGGTCTCGTATACAGATGGGGGAGAGAACGACGCAGCCAAGCCAAGGCCGTCTTTAAATCCGAGGGCGCTGAGCTACGCGAGCGAGCGCGCGACTGGCGCGCTACTGTCATCGCAGCGAGAAGCGGCATTATTCGACGCGCGCGTCGTGTCGTGGAAGAAGAGCTCAGGAGACGCGACGCACCTCTTGTGTCCGCGCGGTTGCTGCGCGGACTTGTGTTTTTGAGCAGCGCGCTCATTTTTGTTCGCACTGGTGTTTCGTTCTGCCGGGCTCTTCGCGGGCGACGGCCTGCGCGCCCCCCAGGCCCCCCAACTTCTGGCCGCGAACAAGGCCGACAACTTCCCTGATCAACCGCGATCGCGAACAGCGGGTCAGGGGGAGCAGCGCTGAGGCTGTTGCGCAGGCCGCTGTCGTAACCTTGGCCAACCTTGCGAGGCGCTCAAGCACTGCGCCACATGGGCAACGTCGGCACGAGCCAGGAGATGCCGCTGTCTACCGCCAACCGACTACAAGAAAGGGGGAAGGGAGGCTGGGGCGGCCTCTGCCGAGTCGCAAGGAATGGCGCCGAACGGCGAACAGCTCCAAGTTGTGGCGCAGGTCTGAGGAAGAGAAGTTTTGGTACAACGCCCAGGCGCGCGACGCAATGCATGCGCGGAAGCGCCCATCGTCCGCGACATCGGCGGTTCCACTTTCCCTGCCCATCTGTCTACCCAGCCCCGGGCGCTGTCGCGCCAGTGTCTGCGTCGTGCGGCCATTTACCATGTGTCTCCAAATGCGCGCGGTTTCCCCATCGGGGTTTCCTCTGCGGGGTCCCAGATGGAGAATCATTCGGGGCAGTTTTTATGTGATTTTCCATTGTCGGCGCGCGCGGGAACGTGGGGGGTCCCGGGGCGGCGGGGTTCCCAGGAGGGCTGTATGCGGGCGTCGCGGCGTGTTCAGGCGTATCGGCGTTCGCGGGCGCTGCGCTGCAGCGGAGGGATGGCGC